TGGAAGCCTCCTTCAGTGCCCAGGTTTGTGGAAACACCAGTCTATTTACACACGACTAATATGGCTACCAAAGACAACACAACTCATATACAGGCTGTGCACGGTGCGGAAAGCAGTGTGTGCTGATACTTTGCAGCTGAAGTCGTCAACGATCTGGGGGCGTGGTGCAAAGTGTGGGCCCTGCTCTGTCTGAGGTTTTGTTTAGACTTTAAGGTGAGCTTTGTTTTGCACAATCTGACCAGAAAAAGCTGATTTAGTTGGAATTAGCCAAGAGTTTTTTGAGTTAGTTTCTGAGTGAGTTTACATGCACTCGAGTATCCCGGTTATGATCGGGTTTTTTGAGTATTCTGGTTTTCTGAGTGTCCATGTAAATGCAGTATCCTGACTTCAGTCTTCTGGATACTGAGATCTGTAGACCAGGGGTGTGCAAAAATATTGAAATATCGATATATCGTATCGTTAAATGTGATGACACACTATTGATATCGTGGGCTATCGATATATATCACCAAAAGTAATTTTTGGTATATTTTACTAAATTATTTTGTTACAGCGCTACAGTTTTGTTGCTTGTTTAGAGCAGACATGTCAAACTCAGGCCCGGGGTCAAATTTGGTCCTCGATATAATTATATTTGGCCTGCGAGATCATATCAAATATGTATATATATATCAAATGTGTATATATTTGATATATGTATATATTTGATAATATATTAGAGCTGCCTGCCAGCTACAGATAGACTGTAGAGATATGATTTATTGAAAATGTTATTATTTTATATTATGTTTGTTCTGGACTCAATGTTTAAGCAAAACTATTATTAAACATTTATTTTAATAAGAAAAGGTTTAACATTGCATATCTCGAAAAAAGAGAAAACATGCAGATGTTGTTTCAATAAATATTAAGTTGGCCCACGACTTAGTCCCAGTTTTTAATTTTGACCTCTGTGAACTTGAGTTTGATACCTCTGATTTAGAGGAAGGAAACTCATTTATGCGTTTGACATTTTCACTGTTTTGATGAGTAAAATGAGCTTTTTTCACATGAAGATGTGGTTTAACAAAGACTTTTAGTATCACAGCCATGATGAATGTTTGTCACACATACTGGATGTTTGTTTTCTTTTATATTGTTGTACTCTGAGTGCAGGTAAACACCAGATCCAGAATACTGTCATCACTGGGATAAAGTTAATAACTGGGATACTTGTGCACACTCTCACCATTTTGCTGAAAATCAAACTCTTAAACAGGACCATGAACACTCACAGGCTCCTGAAAATGTGTTGCCTAAATCAATTTTTTTGAGTTTTCAGACGATCTTTCAGACAAAACTTAAAAATGCTGAACACTCTGCCCTACACATACACGTAGAAAACACCCCCAGCGTGACGTCGGCGCAGAGTATCACGATTAAAACACCCATGGAAGTACAGTCCTGTCACTTATTTATACTTCATACAAACTTGGAGAAAGCGTGGACAGGCCTGGAAGACGGGCTCTGTCCTTAAAGAAATCCTCCGTTTTATTTACTCACTGTTTGACCTAAAGCTTATAAGAACTAAAACACTTATATAACAATATTGCACCATCAAATTCACATTTCATTCTCAGTGCCTTTCTGTTTCAACGTACACGACTATACTACAGTGGATTTCGACTATTCTTACAAATCGTTCACTTTCTATTGATCTGTCTTATAGGAGCTTTGCAGTGGTGGGTTGTGGGAGTTATAATACTGCTAGTATAGATAGTATTCCCATAATTACAAGTAAAGTGTTGGGGTATGTGTATTTAAAAGTCAGTTACATTATAATTATGCAACAAAAGTCCGTGTGCCATTTGTTATTTTGAATTTCAATTAAGAACGAAAACGATAAAATGGAAAAACTGTTTGTCATTTCATTTTTCTGTTTGTGTCGAAACAAAAAAAATGATTTCGAATTGTATTTCCAATATTTAATTTAAAGTTCAAGTCATCGTGCCTGTTGCTTTTATTCTCTCTGGTTTATTTGCTCTGGAAGTTGTGCTGCTAAAAGGACTTACCGTATTTTTCAGACTATAAGTTGCACTTTTTTTCATGGTTTGGGTGTTTCCTGCAACTTATTCTCCGGTGCGACTTATGTATTAAAATTTTCACACTGAAGCGGCGAGAGGCTCTAGTCTTGTGTGCCAGTATCTGCTGCTCCTGTTCCTCCTGTACCACTGTCACTTGGCTCTACTACTGCAGAAAGAAACCCTGTCCTGCTGCAAGTAGTGAAATATTCAGCCTAAAACGGTAATCGAGCAGCAGCTTTACAGTAACCGGGAACTTTCCTGGAAGTCACTGGATGGATGGACAAAGCCTGGACTTCAGTGAAACAGAAACCATCCTGTCGGGATTCAGAAAAGCTGGAATAATTCTAACTTGGACTGATGCTGAGTCTGAAGACAGCTACACAGAAGAGGAAGCGGCGCTCTGTTTACCTCCAGAGGTCGAGGAGTTGCTCAGAAGTGACACCGAGGATGAAGAATTGAATGGATTTAGTGATTTGGAGTGAGATGGAGAGTTTGGTAAACTTGTTCTGTTGTTTATGTTATAGTTTATCTGAAGAACTGTTCATATGTGATGTTAACAGTCTGTTGTTCTCTCTTTTATTGTTATTACTAGAACTTGCCTATTAAGCTGAAATGTCGGTTCCTGGTCTCTGATTTTATAATAAATTTCGCCCAAAAAGTGCAACTTGTATATGTTTTTTCTTCTTCATTATGCATTTTTTGGCTGGTGCGGCTTTTACTTTGGAGCAACTTATACTCCAAAAAATACAGTACCTGAAAAATCATTGCAATTTTGTGGACAAACACTTTCTTTTCTTTTATAGAGATGAGTTTACCTACACATCTTATAAAGTAATTGTTGAACTCCATGACGAGAAACGGGAAGCAGTGATAAACTCTTTTGTTCAGTTGACAGTAAATTCACATATGATACGCTGAGCAGCAGAACTTCCGCGACAAATAAACCCGAGAGAATAAAATATCAAAAATGAAATAGGTACCGAGACTGTTTTTTGACTGATGTTACTTGAAATAAACTTGGAAATAGAGGTTGAAATCTGTTTTTTTGTTTGACACCAAAACAGAAAAATAAAATAACAAACTGTTTTCCCATTTTATCGTTTTTCGTTCTTAATTGAAATTCAAAAGAACGAACGGTACACAAACCAACAAATAAGTGACTATATTCAGATTTCCTATACACTCTCCTGACCAGCCGTTTAAAAGCACTTCTTATTGGTTAGTAGCTGCTTTGATATGTATAGATATATTACATGCAAGCCTTACCGTATATGCATCCTTCTGTTTACATCTCTGTTCTGTTAGATTCTATAGAGGTTATGCACTGACATCGTTTTACTCGAAAAATGTCCTTCAATATTCCGGCTGAGGGCACTGAGGCAGAACTATGGGCTGCTAAAGATGTACTCTGCAACTTTTCTGGTCCCTTGCTTGTTTCTGTGTCATTGCTCTGCCTGGAATGTTCCACAGTGTGACATTAAACAGCTCTAACTTACATTTATTTAATTACAGGTGGTTTTATTGCTCAAAAATACCAAGAAAAACAGGAATTCTGACTGAGCTGACCTGTAACTTGGTCTCGTTTGGTCTCCATGAAGATAGAAAGGTTTAATACTGTGAAACATAACCAGACAAAGCGATAACATCTCCATGGAGACAAATATTTGATGGACAAAGTTATGCAATGCACCTTTAAAACCTTTACAAAATGTGTCTCTCCTTACTGTTTCCTCATTTTTGGTTGTGGAGCTGTTGTTTTTGCTCCAAAATAATTGTTTCTCAGACTCAGAAACAGGAGAGAAAGGTTAATTTCAACTGTGTGTGATCCATAGACTGTATAAATGCGTCCCGTTCTAAATAAAAAGTGATCATTGGCGTACTTGCAACTCCATCGACTTTGGCTCCAATTCACTTTGTATTAAAAAACTATCATCCCTCGTTGGCATTTTGGTCTTAAAATGTTCGTACTAACCCGGTCTACATGATCCTGGGATTTTTATTTTGCTATTTTGTCCGTAAATCAGTATATAAACTTTAATAACAGACAAATCAGGTGCCATCTTTCCATCGAGGTCGCTTTATCCTCTTCCATTAGCAGTTAGGGATGTAACAATATCCCTCGATACAATATTTTCACGATATACATCTCGCGTTTTGATATTTATTGCGATAATTTTGTAGAGGCTTGCAAAATTGTGAAAATGCTCCTTTTTCCTTTTAAAATCACCGGAAAAGCCTTGAAAAAGCCGTTGGTCAGGTTACAATATGAAGAATAAGATTTAAAAGTGCTTAATAACAGTTGTTTTTTCATGTAGTCTGCACTGACAACACCAAAGGATCATGGTCTGTGTAGTTCCCTCTGTTTTTTAGATACTGCTGTACCACGGTGAGGCAAAACAAAGTATTTCAAAGTGCTTTACAGAATAAGAAAGGCATTAAAATCACAAAGAAAGACGTTAAACTCATGATAACTATTCATTTAAGCAAACTTTAAGACTTGTAATTCGATATATTGTGACGACCTCTGATATTATTGAGACTTTTGACGACACAATATCACGATATTTCGGTTATTGTTACATCCCTATTAATAGTAGTAGTTTATTCGGACATATTGCAGCACTACAAAAAAAACCCCAAAAAAACATAGACTACAACCTCGTGGATCTTGACCAAAAGTTTTTAGGCTGAAGTAAAAAGGACTTATGATGCCAAACCCAAGGAATCAGTTACAACAGTCTAAAGCCTCGATTCGGATCGGCTCTTTGGTCGCTCTGATACCTGCAAGCGGACTTCCAGTTATGGAACTCAGCTCCAAATTCGCTCAAGCCTCGATGAGCTTCATTTGACTGGAGCCTAGTCTGCTTTTTTATACAGTCTATGGTGTGATCCCAAAGTCTGTTTCAGTGATAAATGTGTGCATAGCCTGTTTTTTTTTTTTTTTAACTATTACTCAATTTTCTTGTTTTAAATGCCAGATACAAGTTAAATGTTTTGTAAAGTTGTAAATGTTTATATTTGTTTTCAAACTGTAGCAGCTCTTTCCTATTTTACTTGTGTTTTTAGCTCTTACAGGAGAAAATATCATGACTCCTCTTTGGCACTCTGTACTTCTGCCGCTCTCTAATAAAGCCCCAAAGGCCGTGATGTCGTCTGCATAACCTCTACAGTCTTTGCTTCTAAACATTCAGTCCTCACAGTAACTGACTTTTGCGTTCGTCTCATGTCTGTTGTGTCCACACTGCTGCACGGACGCTGCTGTACAGAGCTGTCTCCTTATGGCTAATGTACAGTTTATCTCCATCGGCAGTCCTCAGCGGCCGCTCCTTCAGCCCTGGTCCTCTCGGAGCTCACTGGGCAGGAACTTGTACTGCTGCTGCCGGATCTGGGCCAGCTTCTTCCGGGCCTCCTCCAGCTCGCGCTCTTTCCTCAGCATCTCCTCCTGAGCCGCGATGATCTGAGGAGATAATATGAGCTGCTTATTAAAAACATACACCTTTTCACCTCTTATTTATTTATTGATTTTTTTTTTTAAATTGGGTCATTTTGCAGCACTACAAAACAAAAACTAAAACAGATCACAACTACATGGATCATGACAGAAAGGGTCCAAGCTGAAGCAAAAGTACCAAACCCTATTAAACAATGACAGTATTCCAAGAAAGAAAAGCAGCATATGAACAAGTTTGCATTTATAATTTCAGTTACAACTCACTGTATATATAAGAGACAAAATATAAATTAAAACAAACAAAATGTAATGTATAATTCATTCATTCCAGACCTCTATATCTTTCAAAACATAACGCTTTATACTCTTTTTTTTTCACTCGGATTGTTCCATAAACTCACCCCTCGAACAGAAATACAATCACTTTTTTTCTTAGTTCTTATCTTCATTTTTCCAGTTGTTTTTTTATTTTATTTTATTTTTTTTATGGTTGTACAATCTAATAACAATGTTAATAAAGGCACAAAAGTTTATCGTTTATGATCGTACAAAATAAACCACTATGAGAATGAAAGAATGTAAGGATTTTTTTGTTTTCGTTTATGGTCGTACAAACTAATACTAATGTTAACGAAGGCACAAAAGTTTATTGTTTATGATCGTACAAAATAAAAGGTACTTGTGAAGACAGTAGCTCTAGTCTTGTAGGTATTTCCATAAAGTTTTCTGTAAGTTTTTTTTTTTTTTTTTTTAACCCCCATCCCACTAACCACATCCTCAAAACTTAAATGTGTCAGAATGGACAACAGAGAAGTGGAACAGGACCTTGTCTCCATGTTGCACCAACTAAGGGGATGTTTGTGGATAAGGAAGTTAATTTTTTGCAGGTTGGCGGCCCAGTAGTAATATTTCAAAAAAACTGAAGCATTGGAAATGAGCGCCATCAAAGTAAAATCCCGATTCCTCACTCCACCTCGGTTACGAATTTAAAAAGTCAACGCTAAAGTGAAAGGCACCAGCTGTTCACCAAGAAATGCCTTCCACTGCAAAGCGACCAAGACGTGATGTTGCTGTAAAACCACGAGCTCAGCCTGTTTGTCTTCTGTACCTCTCGCTCAACAAACAGGATTTTCTTTGTTTGTCCACATACAAAGGCTACGTTCAGACTAGGGTTGTCCCGATCCAATCACGTGATCAGAAATCGGTGCCGATCACATGACTGCAGACTCGATCTGGACTCGACTGTTAAGGTCCGATCAGGTATCGGATAAATAATATACGTACATAACACACGGTGCACAGAGGACACACAGCACACAACAGTTTGTTTTTTAACTGAGGCGCGGGATTTGCTCAGGGACGTCCAGTCAGCGCGACTGTCTGTCCCAGCGCCTGCTGTACTAGAGGCGCACTTGTGCTGGGGCTTTCGGGCCGTGCCGTGCTCGGGCGCTGTTACCTGTGGTTCTGTGGCCCGTGTTCACACCTGCGCGGCCGATGGCGTTTGTTTGCATGTTGCCCAGTGGAGTTGGCGCTTTTGGGGGGAGGGTGGGAAAAGCATGAAGCGTCTATTGAGCGGTGGGACTGATGCTGCGGTGTTGCTCTGCTGTGGGTTTGCGGATGTGGTGGCGGTGCGAGGGAATGGGAGCAGCTGGGGGAGAGAGGCTGTGGGGCTTCTGTCATCTCGATTTTATTTGGTAAATAAGATTATGTATTATTTGGAGATCATAGATGAGCCTAAATTTTTCAAATGTAATGCACAGGCTTCCATATAATATCAAATATACAAACTGTAGATTGTGCAGAGTCTCAGGTCTGATCTGATTCTGGTCTGGTTCCTGTTTTGTCCAGTTCATTAAGTAAACTATATTACACATTCCAAGACCAGACTGTGGTAAAAGTTAAAATTTTCAGCAATGATTTTGAATGGTTAGAAAAGTTAATACAATTAAAGTTGTGGACATTTGATTTTTCACACTAAGTTCAGCCCAAATATTACACATTGAAATTAATACAGTCTGATCCCCCCAAACATCCTGGATCTTATTCTTTGCTCTTAGTTCATTTCATAATTTTTACAGAAGTATCGGATTGCGACTCGGTATCAGCAGACACTCAAAATCAGATGACTCGGACTCGGGGGCAAAAAAAATGTGATCGGGACATCCCTAGTTCAGACTGCAGGGCTTAACGCTCAATTTGGATTTTTTGTGTGAAATCCAATGTTTTTGCGAGGTCGTTCACATTTCCAATTAAATGTGACTTGTATGTGATCTCCAGTGTGAACGTTAAACGGCCCAAAAGTGTCCCGCATGTGCACTGGAGACACGACGACGTCAACCGCAGCGAGCGTGATCTGTGTTTACGAAGTTGTCCAAACATGGACGCGAGCATTGAGCACCTGGAGATTTTAAAGTTCCTCTCGTACTGGAGCCATAACGTGAACAATTTACTTGTTTTAAGGAGGAGATTGAGAAGGAGAAGGACGAGGTTTTTGGTCGTGGTGTTTTGTGGTTCAGTCCGTTGAAAGGAACGTGTGGATGCGGAGACGAAGCCAAGAGTGGTGGGATAGCGATGTGCTTTGTTTCAGTGACACGGAGTTCATTAACAATTTTCATATGATGAGAAGAACGTTTGTGTACATTTGTGGCTTGTTGATAAGGTGTAGGTGGATGAATGCGCCTTGGCCGTTCAGACTGAAGTTGCATGTCAAAAGATCAGATATGTATCGGTTTTAGGAGCACATATCCAAGAAAAAATCTGATCTGTTTTCGTTCAGACTTTCATTAAAAGATCAGAAACAGGTCACACAGGGGCCAAAAAATCGGATTTGTGTCACTTCAGGCAGCAATCTGAATGCAGCCAAAATGTTCGCTGCAAACTCGGGATGATTTTTTTAGTCAGCCAAAGGTTTCTGTTTTTGTCCTTCCTGTGGATCCATCCTGCCCTTAGCCTTCACCTTTCACTATTTTTCAATTCTGTTCGGAAGGGAAACAGTTTGAACAGAGGTTTGCAGTCACACACATCTGATTCACTTTTGCATTTATGGAGTTCGCAAACAAATTTCTCGAGCCGTTTTCCACTGTTAGGATCCAACAACCACACAATTACAATGTCCGAATTCCAAAACTAAAATATGACAATATCAGAATCAGAAACAAAAGTGATATGGTTCAAAAGACTAGAAAAGATCGACTTTGACAATAGACGCATCCCACTGGGAAAACAAACATGGCGGTTTGATGCTCACTTTCTTGGAAAATCCTTCCCAGTATGAATTGCTCAATGACCGGAAGTCTGAGATTCTTGATGCGTCTATTATCCAAATGATTCTAGTGAAGGTATATGGAGTTTAAAAGCACAAAGGAGCACTTTCTGTACCAAATGACATCACAAAATATTTTCTCTTTGAGAGGAACTCAGCCTAAATATGCAGGGTTGTTGTGTTAAACGTGTGCATGAAACAAAACACAACTCCAGGTCTGTTTGTGATCAGGAAACTATGTTATAACACCAGAAAATAGCGTAATATGGGCCCTTTAATCATAGTTTAAAATAATCATAATCAATGTTTGTTCAAATGTTATGGATTGAAGAATAACATGTGTTTTTGTTGTGATAAAATGAAACGTACTTGATGTTTTCTTACCTGAGCGATGCCTCCTACAAACTTGGTCTTGACTACCACACTGTCATCTTCACTTTTGTCAAACACCGCTTTCTGAGCAGCCTTCACCAGGTTGTCTGAAGCTCTTTTCACGGCGTTTCCAGCAGCCTTCACAGACACGCATTTGTCAGAATAACAACCCAGCGCACGTCTCAAACACAGACCTTCCTCTTGTATTTTTCGTACCTGGAGTCTTTTGACAGCTTCGGATTCTTGGTCTGCTTTCACCTTGCATGCCACGAGGAGCTGAGCCGTGGAAGCAGCCACTTGTTTCGCAGAGGAGATGAGTTTTTCTTCGCTGGCGTGGCCCTGCACTGACGCATTCGCTGATTCACAAAGGTTACTGGTAGCAGCTGCAACCATTCGCGCCTGTAAATTAAAGCATGTTTAAAAATGATTAGCCAGAAAATGAAAACAAACCTTGACTAATTTGACTCAGTGTTGTGTTATATTACGGCTGATATGAGTCCCTGTGACCACTGTCCATCTTCTGCTGCGTTGGCTTGGTTGCATCCCACCTAAAACAATAAACAAACATACATACAGATATTTACAAATGTTAAGGATGGGACAAGATCTTGACAAAAAAAATGACAAAATTGCCACAAGTCCGCAGCCTGATTCATCAGTCGGTTTCACTTCAGAGAATCGCCTGACCTCGCAGCATTAGGATTCATTCGCTCGATGGAAGTCGGGTACTTTTTATCATTTAACCAATCGGTGCTATTTGGTCGTGACGGATGTAATGCACCACTAACGGGGCTAACTGGTATATTAAGCTTTTCCCAAATCCCATAGGAAGAAGGACAATAACGTCTTTCCCCTTGATAAAATTCACCAAACATTCTCTTTGTTCCGGCTTTAAATCCTCGATCTCGAGAATCGTTGCAAACACAGAATGTATGGCTCTTCGCTGATTGGCTGGTGCCTGGCTAAGAAGATCGTGCATGCAAGAGAAAATTAGATTCTTTCCATATGTTCTATTTGGGTTGGACAAAAAATGTAAGTTACACCTCCTTAAAAGCTGTAGTTTCAAAACACTGAATGCTGAGCTATAATGATAACCAAAGTATTAAACAGAATAAATAGAAAAAAATGTGTAAGCAAATCTTTCAAAATCTTGTTTGTCTCGTTCTTGTGGACCCAATCTCATAGACACTGTCACTTAAATGGTCCAAATCATTGTTTCCCAAAGACTGGTTTGTGACCCTCAGGTGGGTGGCAAGAGATTTTTTTTGGGGTCATCTTGTCACCATCTGCATGTAGGTCTGTGATATACAGTTGTAAACATGGATCTGTGGCCTTATTGTCATTCTGGATGAGCGTTTCTTCAGAATCTCTTGTCCTCAGTCGGGCCAGTGTTTCTGTGCTTATTCCTTTCACTGCTACATAAATGTGTGCATTGGGATTTTCTGTGCTCACAAAAATGAAGGCAAAGCACAAAAACAGACTGAATGCTGCGTCTGATCTGCTGAGTTTCCTCCTGCACCCGGACTGAAACACGCTACAAAAACACAGACAGACTCACCTATCTCAGTAGAAATGCTGAAATACTAAGACATGTTTTGTATAATTTCTACTCTTTTTTGTAATTATTTTATTGACTATTATGGTTCAGTTTTGCTAGTTCAATTGAATGTTCAAAAGTAAAAGAAATGGGCTACATTTAATGTCCAAATAGGCGACTTATGGATCCTTTTATTGCTGCTTCAATCACTGTTTTTCATTGTTTAAAACTTGAGTAACACTAATGTTGGGCTTCTATGTAAATGTGAGTGTTGTATGTCATGATTGTGCTGTTTTTACCATGTTTGTCTTATGAATTGTCATTGACAGTTTGTCCATTGTGTGACATTGTCTTATATTATCTCTGTCTCTCTAACCCAGGAGTGTCAAACTCAAATTCACAGAGGCTAAAATTAAAAACTGGGACTAAGTCATGGGTCAAACTAAATATTTATTGAAAAATTTTAACAGCATCTGCATATTTTCTCTTCTCTTCCTTCGAGATATGTAATGTTAAACCTTTTCTTATTAAAATAAATGTTTAATAATAGTTTTGCTTAAACATTGAATCCAGAACAAGCAAAATATTAAATCTAGTGCTGTCATGCGATTAAAAAAATTTAGAGATTAATTAATTATGATCTGTAATTAATTAATCTAATTAATCTCATTTTAATCTCACCTAAAAATTGCTGAGAAAAGCCTTCAATTTGAGGTATTTTCATTTAAATTCATTATTACATTATTGTGGCAGATCAAAAGACTGATATAGAACAAAAAAAGTGACTTTATAAAGTCATTTATTGTTTAACAAATCTCTCCAAATTGGCTGTTGAGCCCAAGTCTCCATGAATAAGAAACTGTTTGCTGTAAAGTAGCAAAGACGAGGAAATCTGAACATAATAACTTTTGTTTACTTAAAGACAATAAAAAGTCCAGTCTTTCCTTAACCATATTAAAAATATTATTGATAGAGAAATACTTTATATATGAGATCACTGGTTTTAGTCCTTGTATTAGTCCTGGTTTAGACCTGCTTTAGTCCTACTTTAGTCCTAGTTTTGTCCCAGAATGGATTAATCCTGGTTTTAGTCCTGGTGTTAGTTCTGGTTTAGTCCTGGTTTAGTCCTGGTTTAGACCTGGTTTAGACCTGGTTTAGACGTGGTTTTAGTTCTGGTTTTAGTTCTGGTTTAGTCCTGGTTTAGACCTGGTTTAGACCTGGTTTAGTCCTGGTTTAGTCCTGGACTGGGTTAGTCCCGGTTTTAGTCTTGGTGTTAGTTCTGGTTTAGAGGCGCACAGGAGGAAGCGCGGTTTACGCAGCGTACACGAGAAAACACGATCCACACGCGGCTCACGGGAGCACGTCGGTGTCCGCACAGCAGTCTACGGAAGGAAACGTGGTCCGAGCTTCTCAGGTTAATGACGATGATGAAGGTGTGTGTTTGTTTGTGTGTGTTTCTTTGTGTGTGTTTGTGTGAGTTTGTGTGTGTTTGTTTGTGTTTGTTTGTGTTTGTTTGTGTGTGTTTGTGTATAGGACAGTAGTGCAGACATCATGAGCCTATGCAGGTTGTTTTCACCAGTGACATTTAAGTTGTAGGCGATATTATATTTGTTATTTTCTTTTATATTTCACGTCGGGAGAAGAATTTCTAAGACACAAATGTGTGTTTTTACCTGTGCACTGCTGCTGCTCTCTGTTCTACTGGCTCTTCGACCTCGTCCATTGTGCGACTGACGCCGCAAACGTTAACATGACGTTCACATCGCTCTTACTGCGCGCGTTTTGTGTGGGTTTCCGGCAATGAGTGGAATTACCGAAATAAAAAAAATGTATAAATGTGTTTTTGTGTGTCTGTGTGTGTGTGTTGTTGTCCCAACAACACATAAAAACAGATTTTATAATAAAGCAACTCACATACAGAAACAGTAAAGTTAGAGATTAAAAATGAGATTAACGCGATTAAAAAACATAACGCGCTAAATATGACTGTAATTAATTAATCGCAATTAACGCGATAATTTGACACCCCTAATTAAATCATAACAAAATTTTAAATAATTTATTTCTTTATAGCCTATCTGTAGCTGGTGGATCAGCTCTAATACAGATTTGATATGATCTCACGGGCCAAATATAATTATATTGCGGGCCAAATTTGACCCCCGGGCCTGAGTTTGACATGTCTGGTCTAACCTGCCAGGGACTGCAGATGAAAAGTAGCCTTCACAATAATTCTGGCATATTTACAAGTACATGTTCCTGAATATGCATTGTCCCTTTTAAATAAATAAAACAAAAAAAAAAAGTAATTGTTCAGAGAGACACGAACACTCAGTCAACAATAAAATATCCTCATTAATGTTGAATAATGCTCAAATCCACCTTTATTTTCTGATTTATGAATATAGACTGATCTATTGACTTGGGTCGTGAAGGTTTGTGATTTTTAAAATATGAGTCTCCAGAAAAAAAAGGTTTGGGAAACACTGGTGTAAATAATATGAATGGAAGAGAAGCTGGTAGTTTGGGTGCACTGACCTGTCCTTGCATCACGAGCTCCCTCTGAGCAGCAGACGCAGACTTCACTAAAGCGCTGGTGGCCGCTGCGATGGACTTTGCAGCTTCTAAGATCTGTTCTTCAAAGTTCAGAGTCTCGTCGGCCTGCTGTGGAAGATCAGATGGGACCAGTGACAGATTCAAATTAGTCAAGAGTGTTCAACAAAGCCTAAATGATGAAGTTATTGTACAGTACATCATACAAGTGTATCTGCTTTTGACCCAAACATCATTTTATCAGTATTTAAAAGTTTAGACAAATCTTCAATGGTTGTTACTCCCTGTAGGTGTAACAACAGTGGATATACGGCACGTCACCACAAGTTCTGAAGACGGCTCACAGCAGCAGCCGAAACATGTCAACAAGTAAAATACACTTTATTGTACTGTCTTTCAAAAGAACCCAAGAAGTTAAAGTACGCAAGAAGACAAAATGAACATCTTTGGCTGTATAAATATGATCCATTATTGTTATTATGATATACAAACAGAAGACATCAAATATAAGAAGTACGGTGTATGGAATTATGTAGACAGGAAAAAGTTATCTAACTTTTAGTTTTTCACAAAATAATTCCATATATCTTACTTCATATATTTGATGTCGTCTGTGTGTATTTGAAATGTAGAAAGTAGGCACTGAACGAGAGGGTGTGTCCAAACGTTTGATTGGAAGTGTACTGTATTTTTCGGACTATTAGTCGCACTTTTTTTCATGGTTTGGGTGTTTCCTGCGACTTATACTCCAGTGCAACTTATATATTAAATAATAATATTAAGTATCTAGTACTACTATTACTTTTGTACCACTGTCACTTCGCATTCTACTGCTTATGCCTCCTGTAGAAAAAGCCGCTGTCCTGCTGCAAATAGTGAAATATTCAGCCAAAAACGGTAATTGAGCAGCAGAAAGAAAGTTTTGCGTCAGCGAGAAACTTGTGAGGGACGGATGGAAAGTGGGAACACAGCTTCACAGCAACCGGACGGGTGCACCATGCAACTTTCCTGAAGTCACTGGATGGATGGACAAAGTCTGGACTCCAGTGACACCGAAACCATCCTGTCGGGATTCAGAAAGGCCGGAATAATTCTAACTGGAACTGATGCTGAGTCTGATGACAGCTACACAGAAGCTGAAGCAGCGCTCTGTTTACCTCATGGATCTAAGGTTTATCTCCGGATGTTGCTCAGAAGTGACACCGATGAAGAATTCAATGGATTTAGTGATTTGGAGTGAGATCGTGAGTTTGGTAAACTTATGTTCTGTTGTTTATGCTATAATTATCTGAATAACTGTTAATATGTTACGTTAACATATTAACGCCGATTCAGTCTGTTGTTCTCTGTTCTATTGTTATTACGAGAACTTGCCTTTCAAGATGAAATGTCGGTTCCTGGTCTCTGATTTAATAAAATACATTTCCCCAAAAAGTGCGACTTATATGTTTTTTTCTTCTTCACTGCGCATTTTTTGGCTGGTGCGACTTATACTCCAGAGCGATTTATAGTCCGGAAAATACGGCAATGACAAACGTCAGCTCGATGAAGTTTGTGCTTTTAAAATGAAAAGTTAATTTGCAAATACAGCTCTCTCAGTTTGGAAAATAGTGTCACCTCTTAGACACAGAACATTAATAACAGAATAATGGAGAGGATTTGCTTAAGAAGTGATGGATTAATATTTTAATTTCACTAAAATAGACAGAGCTTTTGAAAACACTGCTAGACAAAGAGTGAATTATAAGCCTTCTATTTTTGCAAATGAACTCTTCAGACGTTTCCTCACTTATTCTCGAGACCGTATCTCAGTTCTAAATTTATAAAGCCCTCATTTAGACATGAAGTGTTGCTTTCCTTTGCATTAATTATTCACTCTCCAGTATGAGTTGGGGTGAGTTCGTTCTGTAGCCGCAGCAGCTCAGGGGCTCACTCACAATCACTGTTACACCTGAGCAGTAATTATGTTTATATGTCTTGCCCAAGGACACAACAACAGTAAACGCTACAGTATGTGAGAGCTGGAATAAGACCATCAACTTTCTGGTTATTGATACTTCGCTGTCAGATCACACTGGTGGTGTTCTAAAAATGCTGGCCCCAAGTGTCCTGAATCAAACACATGAAATTAAACCCTTCTTATAATGTTGTGTTTATTTCTAATGTAATTCATTTGCCCGATGATTGATGGACTTGGGTAATGGCTTATAGGCTCCATCTCATGCAAAATCAACTTTTCAGAGCTTTCTACCTTCTAAGAGTGATGTGTGGGCCTTGTATCTGTCGGCGAAGTGTTTTTTAGATTGATTTTGAGTTTTTTTTAACAAATTGCAGCGTATTTCTTCCACCCTCCCACGTGACAACGAACTAAAGCTGCTACAACGATGACGTGGCCGCTTTGACGCGTTTGACTTTGCAGAAGGCACTTTTCCCCCTCCCCTGCTCCACCGCCTCCACCCCGCATCAACTGACAATTCCCACATGAACACCTAAACAAAAGGGACAGCATAAGCTCATTGTTCTACACTGCAGTGAACACAATATAATAAGTTTATCTACTAGTGTTTATTAAGACTTTAACAATCAGTAATGTTCAGCTGATGTGGACGCGGTGCTTGAGCTTCGTGCACCTCAAAGTCCTCGTCCGATTCCGGGTCCAACACATGTGGCTGAATGCACTGTATTGCCATGATGAATAAAAGTTTATTCCTACCACTATCAGGGTGCACGTCTGTCTCCCCCTCACTCCCTGAGATGGCGGAGGAAGGGCGGCTCACTCAGAGCCTACGTCATGTTTGGAGGGCGGAGCCTGTGCTTTCTCAGGACGGGCGGGGGGATGAGCAATAGTCGGACTTTAATAGTTCCTGGTCTGTGACTGCCTCCAAGAAATCAGTAAGATTTCATAACTATTGTCTAATAGATGTTCCAAAACCCAAATTGTGCTTGTATATGTGCAGAAGATACAATGTGAAAAGAGTTATTTTGCATGAGATGGGCTCTTTATGTTATATGATGTACAGTGTATATTGTGAATGTGTTTACATGCGCATGTTTTATCGCAGTTATGACAATGTTATGGATCTGGTGTTTACATGTGGTCAGAGAAACCAGGATACTCAAGTCTCTGTGCACATGAGGAACCGCGGCCCGTGGGCTCTTGCCCCTGAAGCGTCCAAATCGAGGTGTCCAGTGCGTTTTTCGTCGCTGGGGTCTCGCTTACATTATGCTATTACAGGGTATTCGCTGAAGGCTCGGAAGATTTCCCGCCCAATAACTCAGTGAAATATGATTGGCTCAGACAACTGTCAATGTCTTTAAGTTCAGTGCTGCAGGGGGAGTCACTGATTTACCCAGATACCATTGGAGGAAACATTGTGATTGGGCCATTTCTATTCCATTATATTAACCCTTTGTTTCCCAGGAAATATCAGTCCAAGTTTATAACAATGATCTAAAAATTATTACTAGTGTAGTGTTTATTACTCACTCACATAAAAAAATATTGAAAAAATATATTAGTAGTACAAATATTTTTTCTTGAGCCTTCACTGAATACCTTGAAGGCTCTGAGGGTTCCCCTCTGAAAGAAATGCTGTTTACACAACAAATGTGTGGCTCTTTCATTTACATTTCCAATAAAAGTGGGCTATACTCTACTTTTTAATTCATTAATTGGTTTTGCGATTAATCGCACTCGAACTCATGCGATTGTTGCGATTAATTTTTTTTTTATTTTCACCCAGCCCTAATATTTAAAGTAACTGGTGTGAAGTGATTAACTTCACTAAACAAAGACTAAATGAAACAAACCTGGGATAGTGATATTTAGCTCTTTAGTTGATTATGGAAACAGATGTAAATGAAATTAAATGTTAATAAATATTGACAAAGGCTCCCTTTGTCACACTGTGGAACATTCCAGGCAGAGCAATGACATATCCACAGAAAACGAACAGGTGACAGACCCCCAACTGCCTTAAATTTAAGTCTAAAAAAACCTCAGACAAAGTAGTGCCTACAGTTAGCATCACACCCCTGGAGAATGTTGACATCAGCTGCAAAGTAACAATAAAACCACCACCTGAGCCAGTGCTCCAGCCAGGCCCACTGACAGAAATTAAAACATAAATTAACAGGAAGAGGGTGACATTCTGGGCCCCTTAAACCTTGGGGCCCCAGACAACAGACCCGTTTGCCCCTTCCCTGTCTACGCCCCTGTCTACAGCTAACCCACAACATGCGACTGCACAGCACAGAGGAACACGAGGCTGGAGACAGGGCGGGACACTGTAGGAATATGTTTGATATATAGTTGGACTGAATAACAACCTAATATATCAAACATATCAGACAGAGCCCTGCACAGAAGGCTTCCATGTCTACAACGCTTTGGAAAGGGAGACGGTCGGTGGGGACATGCGGGGGTGAGACAGACCCTTTCCTTCAGGAGGAGAGACAGGGAGGAGCGAAGAAGACAAGGAGAGAGAGACAGGAGAAGAAGCTCTGATAAAGATAAAGAAATAAAAGACAGTGTGCATATAAGACTACAGCTACAAAACTTAAAATATTCAATTCAGCTTGAGTTCACTGACAAACACACTGTAATCTGCTTTTGTTTTATTATTAGATCGATTATTTAAAGGTGCATTGCGCAGCTTTTCTGGTGGAGAGTCTGTCACCTGATTGTCTCCATGGAGATTAAACGATCTATCGAGCATTTGTTCATTTCAAGCGTTTCTATTGCTTAAAAATACAATGACTTTCACTGTGAACTGTAATGTAGCCCATGGCCGCAGGAAGTGGGGGTGCTGGAGGTGCTGCGGGACCCTCTAGTGGCGAGAGGGAGATTTTGTTTTTTCTTAAATTATCAAGAGACGAGATTCTTAAATTGTTCTTACATTGCTCTTCAATTGTTCTTAAATAGTCAGAGACGATGTTCTTAAATTGTTCTTAAATTGTCAGAGATTACGTTCTTAAATTGTTCTTAAATTGTCAGAGACGACGTTCTTAAATTGTTCTTAAATTGTCAGAGACGACGTTCTTAAATTGTTCTTAAATTGTCAGAAACGACGTTCTTAAATTGTTCTTAAATTGTCAAAGGCGACATTCTT